GCAGAGCAGAGCAGAGCAGAGCAGAGCAGAGCAGCATCCCGCAGTGCCGCCCAACTCCCCCGAAATCCGGGAATCTCCCCCAAACCTCTCGCCTGCCGGGGGAGCGAGGCCGAGCTCAGCCCCAGGAGCGCAGCACCGGCCCGAGCTCACGCCGCAGCTGCGAGCAGCAGGATCCATCCCCATCCAGCTCAAAAACTAGAGCATGAAAATGCTGCACCCACATCCTGGGACAGCAGTTTTGGAAAGGCAACGTTTAGGGTAACGATTGCTAATGCAGCAAGTGTCTACGTGCCTGCCTCATCCCCCGAGGACCCGCAGGGAGGGAAAGGCAAAGGCAGGGGAAACAGGAGAGCCAGGCTAGGGTGACTGCTGTGCTGCATTCAAGATCCTGGAACACAGGATTAAAATAGACACAACGCGAGATTAACACAACAACTACAATTATGTGCACGGGGGCTCGTGTTTCTCTGCGCAGGTGCATGCCTGTAGTATCCATCAATTACAGGCACAGCAAGCAGAGGAGCTGCTGCAGCTGCTTTTTCACCCTATATCACCTTTGTTATGAAACAAGCAGAATGGCTGTTTCACATCTTCAGGTCTTTGGTGACCTTCCCCTCCAAGAGAACCCACCGGATGGCCCGTACGGGACGTGTCGGCTCATTTGCTTCGCGGGGACAGAGGCGGCCGGGCCCCGCGGTGACACCCGGGCCCTGGCTCTGAGCACACGAGCGGCCCGTGGCCCTGGGGCTCCCCGGGCTCCCGAGAGGCCTCTGCTCTCCTGGAGCCCAAACTCCTGTCTCATCATCCGTGTGCTCAGGGTGGGAGGCAGACCAAGAGCATCCTGTGGGTTGCTCTGCCCCACAAGAATATCCCTCTGCTCCTGCCTGGAAAACAGGCAAATGCTGGAATTTTCAACATTCCAGGTATGATACTTTTGATCGGTTACAGACCAAGTAAGATTGAGGTTTTATAACGTGCAGAAATTAAGGTTCTGCCCCCTTTGCAGGGAGGCACAAGCTAGCCCCAAGGCATTTTCATTCATCCCACAAATACTTGACTTCTGTGCTAACAAAGCAGCAACGACCTGGCTTCCGTAACCGCTGCTCCGGATTGTCCCGCGCGTCCCAGCGAGGAGGGCAGAGGATGACGGCGGGCCCCG